CACCAATGATGGGGCACTATTCCTCCCACTGATACCAATGATGGGGCACTATTCCTCCCACTGATACCAATGATGGGGCACTATTCCTCCCACTGACACCGATGATGGGACACTATTCCTCCCACTGACACCAATGATGGGACACTATTCCTCCCACTGATACCAATGATGGGACACTATTCCTCCCACTGATACCAATGATGGGGCACTATTCCTCCCACTGACACCAATGATGGGGCACTATTCCTCCCACTGACACCAATGATGGGGCACTATTCCTCCCACCAATACCAATGATGGGGCACTATTCCTCCCACTGATACCAATGATGGGGCACTATTCCTCCCACTGATACCAATGATGGGGCACTATTCCTCCCACTGACACCGATGATGGGACACTATTCCTCCCACTGACACCAATGATGGGGCACTATTCCTCCCACTGACACCAATGATGGGGCACTATTCCTCCCACTGACACCAATGATGGGGCACTATTCCTCCCACTGATACCAATGATGGAACACTATTCCTCCCACTGACACCAATGATGGGACACTATTCCTCCCACTGACACCAATGATGGGGTACTATTCCTCCCACTGACACCAATGATGGGGCACTATTCCTCCCACTGATACCAATGATGGGGCACTATTCCTCCCACTGACACCAATGATGGGGCACTATTCCTCCCACTGATACCAATGATGGGGCACTATTCCTCCCACTGACACCAATTTTTTACATTGACTAGTAGGTGCCTCATTTCCCACCCTCGGCTTATACTCGAGTCAATAGTTTTTCCCAGTTTTTTGTGGTAAAATTAGGTACCTCGGCTTATATTCGGGTCGGCTTATACTCGAGTATATACGGTAATTTGTTTTTTTTTTTACTAAAAAAAATAACTGAATACATTTTGGTGAAGATTTATGAAGAAAGATTATTTGCAAAAGTTTATAAGAAAAACACTTTTCAAAATTTTTGGACTTTCATTTATATAGCAAAAAAAAAAATAAAAATAAAAATCCCAGTGGTTTTTACAAAACAATTGGGGTATATATTTGTTTTTTTTAATCAAGGTGTATTTTTTCCAAAAAATATATGTTCATTTTTAAAAACTGCGCATTTCGGTTTTCGGCCAAATGCATTTTGAATTTTCGGTTTCGGCACCAGAATTTTAATTTCGGTGCACCACTACTGACCAGATATTAACGTGGATCTATACCTAGAGCTGAAGATCAAACCGCTCATTTTCCCTGGGAAAGTAGTACAGTGTCACTATGGTGACATTGTACTGCTAGGGTGATGGTATGTAAAAAAAAAAAATTAATATAAAAAAAAAAAAAAAAAAAAATGTAAAAAAAATTTTTAAATTATAATTTTTTGGTTATAAACTAATTTGTTTTTTTTACTAAAAAAATAACTGAATACATTTTGGTGAAGATTTATGAAGAAAGATTATTTGCAAAAGTTTATAAGAAAAACACTTTTCTAAATTTTTGGACTTTCATTTACATAGCAAAAAAAAAATAAAAATAAAAATCCCAGTGGTTTTTACAAAACAATTGGGGTATATATTTGTTTTTTTTAATCAAGGTGTATTTTTTTCCAAAAAATATATATTCATTTTTAAAAACTGCGCATTTCGGTTTTCGGCCAAATGCATTTTGAATTTTCGGTACCAGAATTTTCATTTTGGTGCACCACTACTGACCAGATATTAACGTGGATCTATACCTAAAAGCTGAAGATCAAACCGCTCATTTTCCCTTCCCTGGTGTATCTCCCCCATGAACATTCTAATTAAACATTTAAAAAGGATAAGTTCACCTTTGAGAACATGTTACATGTGCCACCTGTTTTTAGGGTAGAACACGCAACATGGTCCCAATGCTGCAGCCACTGCCCCCGCCCATGGTCGTTTATTGATTCTTCCTGTCAGTATGTCTGCTTGCCCATACATCCCATACAGGCCAGAAGGTATACTGACAGGTCTGCAGGAGACCTGCATAGCACCAGCGATCTTCTGAGCTTTACAGGCTCCTGCAACCAAAAATAATAAATGCACATTTTTTTTTCCTGCAAAAAAGTGCATTTATTATTTTTGATCACAAGGTGAACTTATCCTTTAAATAAAGCAATTCCATTTTTATTACATGCCTCAGTATGAGCATCACTGGGTCTATTTACTTCTCTATGCATTGCAGGCAGATCACGGCTTGTCGGAGAGGCTGGCACGGTGCTGTACACAGCTCCTGAAAACAGCACAGCACCCCGCCTCTGCACTCCTCTCAACAGCTCTCAGTCCTGATGCAATCAGTGGGCTGGCTCTTGGAGGAGTTATGCAAATATCAGAATGCCTTGATGGGCAGGTGTCAGTCTGGAGGAGCGAGTGTTCCTAGGGAGGCTGTGTTTGCATGCAAAATGGTAACATATGATGCTGAATTCCTATGATTGAACAAAAATCCAATAAATAAAAGGGCCAGACAGGGCTAGACGATGCTGGATATCCCCCAGCCAAGCTCCATCTGATTTGCTGCAGCTTCTAATTGACATTGAGAGAAGCTCACAGTGTGCGGTGAAATCAGAGTAAGTAATTTCAGTAAAGAAGAGGAGCCGCAACAACTGTGCAAGACTGAAGGGACCCACATGGAAGAAAAATATATTTGAAATATATTTTAAAAAAATATTCTTCCCAAATATATTGACATATGTTGAAATGCGTTTTTTTATATGTTGCAAAATATATGAAAAATATTTTTAAAAATTATAACAGAGATCACATGGTATCAATGGCTGCAGGAATGCAGCCAGAGAGGAGGAGAAAAATGATTGCTTTTACAGCCTTTATGGGTGTAAAAGCAATCAATGTAAAAAAAAAAAATCATCACCCCCCCACAAGTAGTACTAGGGTGACGGTATGTAAAAAAACAAAAATAAAAATATATAAAAAAATAAAATAAAAATGTAAAAAAAAAATAATTTTTCAAATTATTTTTGGTTATAAACTAATTTGGGTTATTTTTTTTTTTTTACTAAAAAGATAACTGAATACATTTTGGACAAGATTTATGAAGAAAGATTATTTATTTGCAAAATTTTATAAGAAAAACACTTTTCAAAATTTGTGGACTTTTTCATTTATATAGCAAAAAATAAATAAATAAAAATCCCAGTAGTGAATAAATACCACCAAAATAAAGCTTTATCTGTCTCAAAAAAATGCTAACAAATTCATATGGGTACAGTGTTGCATGACCGCGCAATTGTCATTCAAAGTGTGATTGCGCTGAAAGCTGAAAATTGGCCTGGACAGGAAGGGGGGGAAAGTGTCCCCACTGGAAGGGGGGGGGGGGGGAAGTGTCCGGACTGGAAGGGGGGGGGGGAAAGTGTCCTGACTGGAAGGGGGGGGGGAAAGTGTCCTGACTGGAAGGGGGGGGGAAAGTGTCCTGACTGGAAGGGGGGGGAAAGTGTCCTGACTGGAAGGGGGGGGGAAAGTGTCCTGACTGGAAGGGGGGGGGGAAAGTGTCCTGACTGGAAGGGGGGGGGAAAGTGTCCTGACTGGAAGGGGGGGGGGAAAGTGTCCTGACTGGAAGGGGGGGGGAAAGTGTCCTGACTGGAAGGGGGGGGGGGGGAAGTGTCCTGACTGGAAGGGGGGGGGGGAAGTGTCCGGACTGGGAGGGGGGGGGGGGGGGGAAAGTGTCCTGACTGGAAGGGGGGGGGGAAGTGTCCTGACTGGAAGGGGGGGGGGAAGTGTCCTGACTGGAAAGGGGGGGGAAAGTGTCCTGACTGGAAGGGGGGGGGAAAGCGTCTGGACTGGAAGGGGGGGGGAAAGCGTCCGGACTGGAAGGGGGGGGGAAAGCGTGGGGGGGGGGGGGAAGCGTCCGGACTGGAAGGGGGGGGGGAAAGCGTCCGGACTGGAAGGGGGGGGGGAAGCGTCCGGACTGGAAGGGGGGGGGGGAAGCGTCCGGACTGGACTGGAAGGGGGGGGGGAAGCGTCCGGACTGGAAGGGGGGGGGGGGGGAAAGCGTCCGGACTGGAAGGGGGGGGGGAAAGCGTCCGGACTGGAAGGGGGGGGGGAAAGCGTCCGGACTGGAAGGGGGGGGGGAAAAGCGTCCGGACTGGAAGGGGGGGGGGAAAGCGTCCGGACTGGAAGGGGGGGGTAAGCGTCCGGACTGGAAGGGGGGGAGGAAGTGTCCGGACTGGAAGGGGTTAACATAATTTTACATAGATTTGTAAATGCATTCCAAAAATGTAGATTTGTATTTTTAAAGATATACCGTATATTTGGAATGTAGTCTTAAAAATATTTTTTCTTATATTTTGTAATAAAGCATTTCAACATACAATGTATATATATATGTGTGTGTATGTATGTATGTATGTATGTATGTATGTATGTATGTATGTATGTATGTATGTATGCATGCATGCATATATATATATATATATATATATATATATATATATATATATATATATACATACATACATACATACATACACACACATACACATACACATAGATACACACACACACTCCTAGAAAAGCTCCCAGGATCAGGGCCCTCCTATCCCTCTTGTATTGAACTGTATTGTTGCTGTATTGTCTCCCGTTATATTGTAAAGCGCTGAGCAAACTGTTGGCGCCATAAATCCTGTATAATAATAATAATATAAATCCTGTATAATAATAATAATAATAATCTATATATATCTCTATCTATATCTCTCTATCTATCTATATATAAAAATATATTTTGAAATATATTGAATATGGCCAAAAAATTGTAGTATTTCAAATATATGTCAATATATTTGGGAATAATATTTTTTTCTTCCATATGGGGAAGGCCGGAGTTCAGCTATAAGCAGCACAAGGATGTGAAGAAAAACTCTTACCAATACTGAATTTCCAGCCACACTGAAATCCACCTCCTTCTGTGCGCTGTAGCCGCCCCCGCAGGGTTGGGGAACACAAACTGCGTCACTACTTTACTGCCTTCCTGCTGGTCTACAAACCTCGGAGCTGTGAAGAAGGCCTCTCTCGGCTTTGGTCTGTGTCAACAATTCTGGCATTGAGCCGCTGACCCCCAGGCTAACGGAAGGCGTCAGGCTAGCAGAATCTATAGTCAGGCTATTAGTGGAGGTCAGTGCGTGCAAATCCTGGTTGGAACTTCTCATAGATAAGGAAGCCAGGGAGCCCAGTGCCTCTGCATTCACAGTCTGTACATCATCCAAGTTCAAATTTCCCTGCTGGAGGATAGAGGCTGCTGCGCCTAGCAGGAGGGAACTGTCCAGGCTGCTGTGGTTCTCGTTGTTGGACACCAGCACCAAGGGGTCCACGGGATGTACCAAAGAGTTACCGTTGGCTGAAAGGCCGCCCCCCAGGGTCGATCTCACAGAAGATACGTCAATGGTCAGTATTCCAGAGTTGACAAGGGTCAGGTCAGCTGAGATTCCAGAACCGTTTGAGGACACGTTGGTGAAGAGAGACGAGATGTCCAGATTACTGAGGTCACTTTGCCCTGAGCTTGTGAGTTCGCTGCTGGGGGTGAGGGAGCTGGAGGCTTCCAGGTCTGCAAAGCAAGACAACACGGGTGAGCAACGCAGGACACTTTAAAGTGTTACTATGCAGTTACATCAGTCTGTATATGCAGTGAAGCATGCTGGTTATACTCACTGTGGAACCCAAGGAATTAAACCTCCGCATTGTGTAAAAATGCTGTTTGATCCTGTCTTCTCTGATTCTCCCCTTCTTCCAGTGCCCCCTCTTATCTTCTGATAAGACATATCATGTAGAGACACTCTGCACATGTTCGGTTTGGTGTGTATTGCTAGAAAGGTTTTTTTTTTTCCTTTCTTGGGAGAGTGCATGTGATCCAACACAGGGCCAATCAGCACTGTCCAGACTGAGGGTCAGGGATTCTGCATCCTTCTAAAGCAGAAAAAAAACTCCTCCTACAAGCTTTAATCAGTGCTCTGCTGAACACTGATAGAAGTCACAAGACTGCTATATACTGATGAGAAACAGTATGTAGCTGTGGGTGACCAGACAGAGTGAATGCGGGGTCCGGGGAGAGCGGATACAGTGAATGCGGGGTCCGGGGAGAGCGGATACAGTGAATGCGGGGTCCGGGGAGAGCGGATACAGTGAATGCGGGGTCCGGGGAGAGCGGATACAGTGAATGCTGGGCGGGGTCCGGGGAGAGCGGATACAGTGAATGCGGGGTCCGGGGAGAGCGGATACAGTGAATGCGGGGTCCGGGGAGAGCGGATACAGTGAATGCGGGGTCCGGGGAGAGCGGATACAGTGAATGCGGGGTCCGGGGAGAGCGGATACAGTGAATGCGGGGTCCGGGGAGAGCGGATACAGTGAATGCGGGGTCCGGGGAGAGCGGATACAGTGAATGCGGGGTCCGGGGAGAGCGGATACAGTGAATGCGGGGTCCGGGGAGAGCGGATACAGTGAATGCGGGGTCCGGGGAGAGCGGATACAGTGAATGCGGGGTCCGGGGAGAGCGGATACAGTGAATGCGGGGTCCGGGGAGAGCGGATACAGGATACGGATACAGTGAATGCGGGGTCCGGGGAGAGCGGATACAGTGAATGCGGGGTCCGGGGAGAGCGGATACAGTGAAAAAAAAAAACCGGGGAGAGCGGATACAGTGAATGCGGGGTCCGGGGAGAGCGGATACAGTGAATGCGGGGTCCCGGGGGGAGAGCGGATACAGTGAATGCGGGGTCCGGGGAGAGCGGATACAGTGAATGCGGGGTCCGGGGAGAGCGGATACAGTGAAAGCGGGGTCCGGGGAGAGCGGATACAGTGAATGCGGGGTCCGGGGAGAGCGGATACAGTGAAATGCGGGGTCCGGGGAGAGCGGATACAGTGAATGCGGGGTCCGGGGAGAGCGGATACAGTGAATGCGGGGTCCGGGGAGAGCGGATACAGTGAATGCGGGGTCCGGGGAGAGCGGATACAGTGAATGCGGGGTCCGGGGAGAGCGGATACAGTGAATGCGGGGTCCGGGGAGAGCGGATACAGTGAATGCGGGGTCCGGGGAGAGCGGATACAGTGAATGCGGGGTCCGGGGAGAGCGGATACAGTGAATGCGGGGTCCGGGGAGAGCGGATACAGTGAATGCGGGGTCCGGGGAGAGCGGATATAGTGAATGCGGGGTCCGGGAGAGCGGATATAGTGAATGCGGGGTCCGGGGAGAGCGGATATATAGTGAATGCGGGGTCCGGGGAGAGCGGATATAGTGAATGCGGGGTCCGGGGAGAGCGGATATAGTGAATGCGGGGTCCCGGGGAGAGCGGATATAGTGAATGCGGGGTCCGGGGAGAGAGGATATAGTGAATGCGGGGTCCGGGGAGAGCGGATATAGTGAATGCGGGGTCCGGGGAGAGCGGATATAGTGAATGCGGGGTCCGGGGAGAGCGGATATAGTGAATGCGGGGTCCGGGGAGAGCGGATATAGTGAATGCGGGGTCCGGGGAGAGCGGATATAGTGAATGCGGGGTCCGGAGAGAGCGGATATAGTGAATGTGGGGTCCGGGGAGAGCGGATATAGTGAATGCGGGGTCCGGGGAGAGCGGATATAGTGAATGCAGGGTCCTGGGTTTAGGAACACTTAAAATGCATGAAGGTAAAAAAAACCCATGAGCATCCACAACCACTTTAAAGCGGTACTAAAAGTTCAGATTTCTTTTTTTTTTTACAAAAAAAAAAAAAAAACACATGTCATACTTGCATGCTCTGTGTAATGGTTTTCCACAGAGCAGCCCCGATCCTCCTCTTCTTGGGTCCCCCGCTGGCGCTCCATGCTTTTCCCCCTTGACCAGTACCTTGCTATGGTGGCACTGGTGCATGCTCGCTACCAAGTCCCGCTCTATGCATCCATAAGACACAGAGCTGTGGCTCGTTCCTGGCCCCTGCTGTCTCCCCACTGACTCACTGGCTGTGATTGACAGCAGTGGGAGCCAATGGGGAGAGGGAGTCCTGGGACAGCTGAGGCTCTCGTGCACATTGCTGAATCAAGAAAGAGCTCGGGTGAATACTGCACACAGAAAGTATTAAGTATGAAGGTAAAAAAAAAAAAAAAAAAAAACACTTGAGCCTTTACAACCATTTTAAGTAAATATGGGTCAAACTTCTGCGCCGTGTCATTGGCATCAATTTGAAAAAAAGTCCCATGCAGAGCAGCACTGAGCCTTACGGTGCTTTGACCAAGTTTACAACTTCAGAGGAACTTATAATGACCACAGATAGCCGTGAATAAACACAAAGAGTTAGAAGTCATCAGCACTTCAAAAACTCACTTCCATAATTTAGTGTAAACCCATAATCTCACAAAAGTCAAGTTCATGGACACGTGCGCATGATCTGCATTTCACTCTTGATCTGCACCATGCAGGCTTTGCATTCCCATTTGAGTGCGCAAAACTTGTTTGAAGCGAACAAAAGCCCACCGATGGAAGACAATTATTGTCAATCTACAGCATCCCTGGAGTGAAACTGTGCTCCAGGGGAACTGAGTGCGAGAGCGAACATACATACCGACATAAACCAACAAGAAGTCTGCAACTGAAATGTGATGCATGTAGAATACTGTACACCAGGGCTTCACATTTCAAGTCCGGAGCTACTAGCCGGGCCTTAAGAGTTACTCGCCACCAACAAAACACACACAGACACCCCTGTACACACACACAGACATGTACATATACACACAGGAACGTACAGACACACACAGACATGTACATATACACACACAGACACCTGTACACACACACACACACACGTACATACACACACACATACAGACACATGTATACACACACAGGAACGTACAGACACGCATACACACAGAAACATGTACACACAGAAAATACACATGCACAGACACGTACATACACATGTACATACATACACACACACACGTACATACACACACACACACACACGTACATACACACACACACACGTACATACACACACACACACACACACACACACACGTACATACACACACACACACACACGTACATACACACACACACACGTACATACACACACACACAGACACGTACATACACACAGACACGTACATACACACACACACACACACACGTACATACACACACACACGTACATACACACACACACACGTACATACACACACACACACACACACACATGTACATACACACACACACACACATGTACACATACACACACACACACACAGACACACACACACACAAGCTAAGTGCTCTTTCCTCTCCCCTGAAGCCACCACTGGCTGACAGAGGATCATGTGACCAGAAATTAGACACACACGCACAGACACGTGTACATGCATACACAGAAACACACATGCAGTTAAGTGCTCTCTCCTCTCCCCTGAAGCCACTACTGGCTCACATAGAGGATCATGTGACCAGAGTGAGCTGAAATTAGACACACACACACACCCTATAAACAAGTTGCAGTACTTTGTTGTTCACTCACAGAGCCGGGTACTGCACTCTAGGGGGAGGCAGAGAGCACAGCACACACTCCTTCCTTTGCTTTCACTGCGCTCAGCTATTGAGCAGTCTGACGGCTCCTAGTGCCAATGACAGATCAAGCCTGAGCTCCGAGCCTGCTCAGCAAGACGGCCCTGGGGGGACACACTCGCCCCCACCATAATATCCACTCGCCATTGGCAAGCAGGCAAGTGGAAATTTCAAGGCCTGCTGTACACTGTGTGTTAGGTATATGTGGAATTTTAATATTTTCCTAATTTAGATGAAGTGCCCCTTGTTATAGGATTGCAGGTGAAAACCAAAAAAAAAGTTTAATTTACAATTTGGCCACGTCAGAATCCACCAGCCTAGCTGAGCGCCACGGAGGACCATTCTCACCTCGGCCGTGCTGTTTAACCATGTGGGACTTCAGGCTCTGCTTGGATGTGAATATCTTGCTGCAGTTGGACACAGAACATCGAGCCTTTGAGGCATCCACATCTTGAAGGTGCTTCTTTGAATGGATATACAGACTGCTACGGGCAGAGAACTTGGCTCCGCAGCCTGAGGGAGAAGCAAAAATAGACACATTCAGAGTCTGTGCATGTATGAGCATCACTAAATGTTGAACGTTGTGCTGTATATTCATCTAAACTGGTAACATGAATAAAATCCAACACCATTTCAGAATACCAACCATGTACAGTGCCAATATTGAGGCAAATATTAAAGATAACAGGGTGATATCAACTATAGTCAGTCCCCAGCTGCTATAGGAGAGTGTGGGTTATAACATTAGAAAAACATCTTGGGTTCTATCAATAAAGGTTTTTTATAATAGATACACAGAAATTTTACCCAGGTTTTACACTTTATCTGGATACAGTTAGAAGAATGTGTAAAACCTATGTGAAAGCTGTGTAAAGGCATTGAAAAACAGACCCCCTAATGGCCGGAGGGTACCCATAGATCAAAAAAATAAACAAAACAGCATTCAGCTCTTTAGATGACCATTCTCCTCCTCAGTATGCCATAGTGGTCAGTGGTGAGAGTACAGAATGGTGGGTGAAGCCCGCATATGGATCATTTGGAATTTAAAATATTTAATTAACCCCTTCCTGCTGACGCCTCCTGGCCCTTTAACAGCTTTTAAATGCTGGGAGGCGGAGGGAGGACTTGGGACATATGACCGCTGTGATTGGCTGTCATATAAGTGGAAAGCTCCCGATTGCTAGTACGCATTGGGAGCTTTTCTGTCCCCACCCGTGTCCGTGCTGGGAGTGAGCAGGGCACGCACTCTCAGCACAGACAAGTGTTTACATAGGGCCACATATATGAAGCCTCTTGGCGGTAAAGCCCAGCCGCACATGTGTGGCCTCTCGGGGTTAAAAAGCCCGGCCGCATATATTATTATTATTATTATACAGGATTTATATTATTATACAGGATTTATATTATTATTATTATTATACAGGATTTATATATTATTATTATTATACAGGATTTATATTATTATTATTATTATACAGGATTTATATTATTATTATTATTATACAGGATTTATATTATTATTATTATACAGGATTTATATATTATTATTATTATACAGTATTTATATTATTATACTGGATTTATATATATTATTATTATACAGGATTTATATATTATTATTATTATACAGGATTTATATTATTATTATTATTATACAGGATTTATATTATTATACAGGATTTATATTATTATTATTATACAGGATTTATATATTATTATTATTATACAGGATTTATATTATTATTATTATACAGGATTTATATATATTATTATTATACAGGATTTATATTATTATTATTATACAGGATTTATATATATTTATTATTATACAGGATTTATGGCGCCAACAGTTTGCTCAGCACTTTACAATATAACGGGAGACAATACAGCAACAATACAGTTCAATACAAGAGGGATAGGAGGGCCCTGATCCTGGGAGCTTACATATATGCGGCCTCTCAACGTTCAAGCCCACCCATCGAGGGGCCACATATATGCTCCACATCACCAGGAAGAAGTTAAAAGTGTTAGTTTGCCACTGTTTTCTGAAAAGGTGAACCAACATCATAAACACATCCCCCACATTCCTTGCCGTACCTACCTCCAGGATTGCAAAGCCGTCAACCACTCCAGCAGTCCAGGCATTTCAAATCCCTACTCTTCTCTGTGCGCCATTAAAGGGAATCACTTCTGTCCCGGGAGTGCTGCATGAAGAGGGAGAAGAGTGGGGATATCAAATCCCCAGCCCGCTGGACTGGCTGCAAGAGTGCCGGCAGCTCAGCAACCCCAGAGGCAGATTAAATTGTTGACCAGGAGCGGTGTTGCAAGAGGTGTTTCAGTATTAGTTCACAATTACATTTTTTTCAAGGTGTGGGATGTGAATACTTGTGTTCATTAACCACTTGCCGCCCTGCCACTGTAGAAATACGGCGGCAGGGCGGCACTGGCAGGCAAAAACCACGTTTTAAAAGGCGTGTTTTGTAAAACACGCCTTTTATAGGAGGCACGCCGCCGCCCTGTCCCGCCGATCACCGCCGCGGATGTCAGTCGCGGCCGGGTCACAGCCGGTCTTTACCGGCTGTTTCCCGGCGATCGGCGGCAAACAGCACAGCTGCAGTAGCTGTGCTGTCTGTCACTTCCCTGACAGCTCGAGGACGAGCTGATCGAGAAAGAAGAGTTTCTCTCTCTCTCCATCAGCCTTGTCCCGCCCAGTACACACCCCTCCCCCTAGTAAAACACTCCTCCCCTCACTCAGATAACCCTTCCCTGCAAAATAAAGTTAAACCCCTTCCTCCCCAGTGCCATTAGTACAGTGTCAGTGTTTTTTTTTTTCCACTGATCACTGTATTAGTGTTTTTGGGGATGTCAGTGACCCTAAGTCAGTACCCCCCAATGTCAGAATAACCGCCGCAGTCCCGCCATAAGTCACTGATCGCCGCCATTATTAGTATAAAAAAAAAAAAAAAAAAACTAAAAATTCCAGTATCTTTCCCGCCATTTGTAAACGCTATAACTTTCACGTAAACCAATTAATTTACACGTATTGGGTTTTTTTTTTTTAGCAAAGACATGTCGCAGAATGCATTTTGGCAGAAATATATGACTAAATTTGATTTTTGCTTTTTTTTTACTGGACATGTTTTATAGCAAAAAGTCCAAAATATTGTTTTTTTTTTTTTTCCTCAAAATTGTCAGCCTTTTTTTTTTTATAGCGCAAAAAATAAAAACCGCACAGGCGATCAAATACCACCGAAAGAAAGCTCAATTTGTGGGGAAAAAAAAAGGATGTAAATTTCATTTATGTACCGTATTGCATGACCGCGCAATTGTCCGTTAAACTAGCGCAGCGCTGTATAGCAGAAAAATGGCGTAAATTGCAGTATCTATCCCATAGTTTGTAGACGCTATAACTTCACACAAAGCAATCAATATACACTTATTGGGATTTTTTTTTACCAAAAACATGGAGCAGAATACATTTTGACCTAAATTTATAACCAACTTTGAGTTTACTATATATTTTTTATAGCTGAAAGTAAAAAATATTGTTTTTCTTCAAAATTTTTGTCCTTTTTTTGTTTTATAGCGTGAAAAATAAAAAGCGCACAGGTGATCAAATTACACCGAAAGAAAGCTCTATTTGTGTAAAAAAAAAAGGACGTAAATTTTGTTTGGGTGCAGCATTGCATGACCGCGCAATTATCAGTTGAATTAGTGCAGCGCCGAGTAGCAAAAAGAGGCGTGGTCATTAAGGGGGGGTAAATCCTCTGGAGGTCAAGTGGTTCAAATCTATCACAAAATTGAATTTCCCTTTCACCACTGCTACACTACTTTATTTCGGACTGATTGTTTATTTAGAAGTGTGGCAGCAATGACTTAACAGAGATTGGCGTTTGTTAGCGCGGAATATTTATTGCTCGATCTATTCTCGTCTATGAATGCAATGTAATGGCTTACCCTCCACAGGGCATTCAAAGGGTTTAGTGCCCAGGTGAGTAATCTTGTGGCCTTTCAAGTGCTCGGCTCTAGTGAACGACTTCCCGCAGCCTTCTACAGGACACGGGTATCGCCGGTCATCTTCATGTTTCCTTGTATACAAACAAAAAAAAAAAAAAAGTGACAGCACGTCACCTACAGAAAACATCCATCATGTTTTTATACTGTGACATTATCCCACTACTATAACTACAGAATTCAGCACTTGCTTGTTATTCTGGAAAAAAAAAAAAAAAAAAAACAAAAAAAACCAACACTGATGTATCGCTCATAGTTGAACACACAGCCAAATACTGACAATATTACAGAATCCATACCTTTTATGCCTTAGCAGCTTTGACATGCTTGTGAAAGAGACACCGCAGCTTTCAAAGTCACAAATGAAAGGTCTCTCACCTATAAAAGGTAAGTAGTGACATCAGATTACATAGGAAACAAAGATTCCTCCCCATAAGAAACCCATTTTATATCTCTAATAAACAGTAATGGATAAATCAATGCAGATTTTTATATACAGAAGAACTACAACTGTAAAAGATTAGCTGGCCTTCTGTCTGTTGCCCCAAGGGTGTGCAGTATGTAAACCAAACCTGCAAGGGGTTGGATTGCTCCAGCAGATGACTGGACAGAAGGAGGCGGCCAAGTCGCCATTTAAAGTGGAACTGCATTGTATCTGAGCACCACAAACCAAAAAGGCTGTTTAATTCATTTTTATTATTCAAAGCCAACTTCCGCCCTCCATGTCTCCGTGCTTTCTTTTGCTGAGAAATCATTTTGAAAAACACCCCCTGGCATTTCTGGAATTGGCCATCTTGACTAAAGGCAGAGGATTCATGTATCATTTATTTCCTGGAATCCGTCTGCCCTTAGCCCAGGCACAGACTGAGCTCCGAACCCTGCTTCCCCTCCTGAAGACTGCTTGGATATATGACATCATTTGCCTAGGCATAGAAACCAGGAAGTAACGGATGAAATGTAAAGTTTAAAACAAGTAAATATGATATACTTTCCGATCTATTTACGAATGCTAGCAGCATAAGGATTAAAAACAATTCATGTTGACTGAGAAAATGAAGTCCCCCTTCCCTTTAAGATGACCAGAAGAGGTCCTTGTGGGCAGCCAAAGAAGTGCCATGTAAAAGAGGGGGACAAGGAGCGCCGTACCCAGCCAAATGGGACAGGAGGTGGGAGAGTAACAGGAGCTAAGGTAGGATCTAGGTGGTGACCTTACATGCCAGGGTTAGACAAAAATGGAAACACAACATGATTTGCAGGTGTGAATGTGACATGTTTCGCATTGAAAGTGGCAGTGATGTAACATTCTTTTGCTTCCGCTGTGTGATGAGACACCTAGCGGACAGGTGGGAAGCTTCACTTTCGTCATTTACTGCTAGTAATACGGAATCATGTCAGAGCTTAACCCCTTGACGCCGACGTAACACAAATATGCGGCCTCACGGACCTGGGCTTTTTTCCGTGGGGCCGCATATTTGCGTACCTGTCTGTGTGCTGGGAGCGTGCCGCTCGGCGCGCTCCCAGCACCAAGACCGCGGTGTCACTGAGAGCCACGGGTCCCGTTCTAACGATCGGGACCCGGGACTCCCGATTCCGGGTCACGTGATCACTGTGATAGCCTCTGATTGGCTATCACAGTGATCAATCACTGTGCAGCCCGGCCCCCTTGTTTTTCTCTCTCTCTATGAATGGAGAAGAGAGATACATTGTATCTCTCAAACTCCTGACAGAGAGATAAAAAAAAGTTTGTAAAAAAAAAAAAAAAAAAAAAAAAAAAAAAAAAAAAAAAAAGATAAATAAATATTATTAAAATAAAATAAAAAAAATAAAAAATAAAGAAAAATACCTAGATCAAGGTTTGATCTAGTTCAGTGCCAGGGTTAGTGTTTGGGTCAAGGTCAAAGGTCAGGGTCAAGGGCAAAGGTCAGGGTTTAAAAAAAAAATTGGTATCAGTGTCAGTTAGTGTCAATGTCAGTGACAGTGTGTTTTATGTAAAAAAAAAAAAATTTAAAAAAAGACAAAAACAAAATGCGCACTATTGTTTCTGGACTGTACTACGGGTACAAACAACAAATAACATACACATATATGGTATCGCTGCGATCGTCAAGAACTGGAGAATGTATTTTGGGTTGTTCTTTGGTGGTAGGTTATGGTCGTAACAAGAAACACACAGTTAAATTAAAAAAAAATATTTTTTTTACTATTTTGGCCCAGTTTTCCTTTAATAATAAAAAAAAAAATTAGGAGCTATCCATTACCATTTACCACGAAATGAAAGCCCAATTTGTCCTGAAAAACACAAGGTATAATCCACCTGGATGTACAAAGTAGTTGTGACGATATGTACGGTTTTACTATCATATGTCAACGTCGCAGAATTGTGCTTAGGCATTTAGATTTGTTTTACTCTCAGGCGTGAAGGGGTTAAGGAGCTTCAAAGACGGCACATTGTTGGTGTAATTTAGCCAGCGCCTCTGTGACTGAAGTCACCAGTTTATTTGCTGCGTCGTGACATACAGTATCAAAGGTTTTGACAGCATATACAGTTTCCTGGAAAATGTCGTCTGACAAGCATAGCCACGGTTGACATGGTCAACTGACTTTATAGTGTACAGCGCTGAGCTAACTGTTGGCGCTACATAAATCCTGTATAATAATAATTAAAAAAAAAGACAAAAGGACATTGCGCAGGATTGTGTCCCGAAATAGGAAAGCAACTGCTGCAAAAGTTTTCATGGGACTGAGATTGAGCTCTGCAGTCACTTTTGCAATAATCGCATGCTAGAAATCCAACATGCTGATTGTACTCAAGTTGATCAATGGATCGGTAATAACAAAGTGCTAGAATAATAAATACTGATAAAAGAGCAAATAAATAATGTGACAGTTCGTGGAAAAAAGTGCTTGGTACAAAGGTTGACTTCAAACTTCGGTGGCGTGTCAGAAGTGTGGTAAAAATACGCACTCACCAGATGCGTATTTTAAATACGCATGTAAATAATATAGCCAGAGGTCCCCCTCTCAGGATGGGAAATGCCGTTTATGGATTCTCCCCCCTCTGGGTGGTATAGAACTTTAAAGGTGTCTTCCTTGGTGGGTGCAGATAGGGTCCAGCCAGAGGCCTCCTTAATGGATGGATGCTTGTCAACCAATATTAATGGAAACAGATCCCTCCTCTGGTTTAATGGAATGTTGCCACTCGAACCACTGTGTCATCCGGAATGGGCTCTCTAGATGAATGTTGTAGCACAGTCTAGTTGCAGGACCCCATAAAGATGATCACGCTGTGGCACTTGTCTTTGTGTCAGAGACCTGAAGACAAGATCAGCAATCATGGGAGATTCTCCCAACAGTTGTCCAACCAGCCTAAGTAAGTTATCGTCAGACCATTACAGCCAAGTCTTTGCAGTGTATCAAAGAATGTACGGAGTCCCTGCTCGATCCTTACCCGATCAACTTGAGTACAATCAGCCTGCCCATAGATGGATCGAATCTCGGCCAGCCCCCTGCTAAACTGGCTCAGATTCGAACCCTCTATAGCCAGCTTAACCCCTAGACGCCGAGCACACACAAATATGCGGCCTCTCGGCGTCTGGGCCTTGAAGCCGAGCGGCCGCATATTTGTGTACCATTTGAAAATACATATGTGCTGAGAGCGCGCCCTGCGTGCTCCCAGCACACATGTCCGTGACTCACGGAAAGGTCCCCGATCTCCCCTTGCGATCGGGACCTTTTCCGATCATGTGACAGCAAATCATGGCGGTCACATGACCCTAAAATCCCGGCTTCTGAAACCTCTTAAAGGGCCGGGAGGCACCAGCGCAAAGGGGTCAACTCTTGTCACCTCTTACTGAGCACGCTGCAGAACTGCAGCTACGGGAACACCGACCTGTGTGGCTGCGTAGGTGTATCTTCAGGCGGCAGGCTTTATCATACTGCTTGTTGCAGCCAGGAAAAGAGCAAACAAACTGTTCCTGTTCCCGGACATGAGCTCTGTGATGGGAGAACAAGGCAGTCACTGTAATAAACGTCTTGTCACAACCTATAGGAAACAAAAAATGGTTTTATTTATTTTACTGCATTTATTCTATTGTAAAAATAGTAAATGACAAAAAAGGCCGGCATTGCAGTCTCTGCAAATACCATCTGGTTGTAAAAGCAACATTCTGGCTTTAACCACTTCCAGTCCGGACACTTTCCCCCCCTTCCAGTCCGGACACTTTCCCCCCCCCCCGTTCCAGTCCGGACACTTTCCCCCCCTTCCAGTCCGGACACTTTCCCCCCCTTCCAGTCCGGACACTTTCCCCCCCCTCCAGTCCGGACACTTTCCCCCCCCCTTCCAGTCCGGACACTTTCCCCCCCTTCCAGTCCGGACACTTTCCCCCCCTTCCAGTCCGGACACTTTCCCCCCCCTTCCAGTCCGGACACTTTCCCCCCCCCCCTTCCAGTCCGGACACTTTCCCCCCCCTTCCAGTCCGGACACTTTCCCCCCCTTCCAGTCCGGACACTTTCCCCCCCCCTCCAGTCCGGACACTTTCCCCCCCCTTCCAGTCCGGACACTTTCCCCCCCCTTCCAGCCCGGACACTTTCCCCCCCCTTCCAGTCCGGACACTTTCCCCCTTCCAGTCCGACACTTTCCCCCCCCCTCCAGTCCGGACACTTTCCCCCCCTTCCTGTCCAGGGCAATTTTCAGCTTTTAGCGCTATCACACTTTGAATGACAATTGCGCGGTCATGCAACACTGTATCCAAATGAATTTTTTCATCATTTTTTTTAGATAGATAAAGCTTTATTTTGGTGGTATTTATTCACCACTGGGATTTGTATTTTTTTTTTGCTATGTAAATGAAATTTCCAAAAAATTTTTTAAAAAGTGTTTTTTTTATAAAATTTTGCAAATAAATAATATTTCATCATAAATCTTAGCCAAAATGTATTCCGTTATCTTTTTAGTAAAAAAAAAAATCCAAATTAGTTTATAAGCAAAAATTATAATTTTTTAAACATTTTTTTTTACATTTTTATTTTATTTTTTATATTATTATTTTTTATTTTTTTTTTTACATACTGTCACCCTAGCAGTACAGTGTCACCATGGTGACACTGTACTACTTGTGAGGGGTGATAAAGATTTTTTTTTTACACTGATTGCTTTTACACCCATATAGGATGTAAAAGCAATCATTTCTCTTTCTCTCTGTGTGCATTCCTGCACTCATTAAGAAATACAGAGTGAGCTGTGATTGGTCACAGCTTGTCACATGGTACAAGGCTTTTGTGATTGGCCCTGTACCATGTGACCTCTGTGATCATTCACAGATTTCA